TTTTTTTTTTTTTTAATTTTGAGACAGCCTTGTTACATTGCCCAGTCTTGTTGAATCTGAGATCCTACTACCTCAGCCTCCCAGAATGTTGGACTACAGCTGGATAGACATTTGAGAAAAAAGTTTTACACACCTACTGCATGACCTGACATTCCATTCCTAGGTACCTATCTAATACATACATAAAATCATTTGTTTAAAAAATTTGTACAAGATTTGTTCTTATGAGTTTTACTTTTATCATAGCAGATGTTTGAAATACTCTATAGATGTCACCAAGATCAATAAACCATGATCTATCCATTACAATGGATTATTTCTCATTGATAAAAAATGGAACACACCCCAGTTGTTCTGCTGCCTGCCTTGCAAACGCAAGGTCCTGAGTTTGATCCCCAGTTCCAAAAAAAAAAAAAAAGGAATACACCCAACACGAATGAATCTCAAAAGCCTTATATGTTAGGAATGGTAACACTTGCCTGTATCCCAGCTACTCCGGAGGTCGAGGCAGGAGGATAGTAAGTTCAAAGCCAGGCTGAGCAATTTAGCAGGACATGTTGAATGGATACATGGACAGGTGTGTGATAAAGCAAAACTAATAAAATGTTCATTACAGAATTCAGGTGGATATATGGGGTGTTTATTGTGTATTTCTTTCAACTTCTCTGTGTATTCAAAAGTTTTGTGTATTTCGTATTAGAGATGGAACCCAGGACCTTGCAATAAGCTACATCTCTGGCCCCACTCCGTTTTTTTGCACAGCAAATTGAACCCAAGGCCTTTGTTTGCACTGAGCTATATCTTCAGCCCCTTTTTTCCTCCGTACTGGGGATCGAACTCAGGGCCTTGTTTTTGTGAGACAGGCATAGTGTCACTGAGCTAAATCCCCGGCCATCCAAGCCTTTTTAAACTTTATTTTTTTAAATTTTGCAACACTGTCTCACTAAATTGCTCAGGCTGCCCTGGGACTTGGTATTCTAAGTAGCTGGGATTACAGGTGTGTACCACATCCCACTTCAAGGGTTTTTATAATAAAATGTTGGGGAGAAGGAGCCAAAAGAAAGGTGTAGACATTGCTATAATCATTCACAATCTGAACACATTTTACAGTCTCATCTTTATCTCCTCACATTCCCCTCGGGTCACCAGAGCAGAACGGTCAAAGTGCTGGTATGTCTTTTCTTATTCCCAGCTTTCCACCTTGAAGGAAGTAGGCTGCGTGGCTGAGGCTGCCAAGTTGCCCTGTTGCAGTGTGGTCCCACCCAACAGTCACCATGAGTTGGGGGCTCTTTCTGCCCTGTGTTCTGCGGGATCTCCAGTTTCGGCCTTTCCTAGCTTCTTTGGGTGTATTTCTTCTTGCGGGAGGAACATATGTCCCAAAAGCTTTCTGAGATATGGTACGTGGGAGGTAAAACTTCGGAGAACTTGTTTGTCTGAAAATGTTATTTTACCCGCCTACTTGATCAGTGGTTTGCTATGTGTAGCATTCTAGTTTGAACATCATTTTCCTTCAGCACATTAAAGGCACTGCCCACCAGTGCAAGCAAAGCCCAGAGTGGGGCTGTTTCTACTTCTATTTCCTTAAGATTTTTGTTTTCTCTTTAGAAGCTGGCAGGATCTTACCTGTTTGCATTGTCCTTGGTTCTATTTCCATTCACTGGGCAAACAATACACAAACTGTCCTTCAGGTTTAGGAAATTTTCTTTGCACATTTTCATGGATATTTTCCTCTTATTTCTTTTATATTACATGGTTATCATTAGTGAGATTTTTTTTTTTTTTTTTTTGGTACCGGGCATCAAACTCGGGACCTTGCACTTGTGAGACAGGCGGCAGAATCATTGAGCTAAATCCCCGGCCCTCTATACGGTTATCACTAGGATGGTTGGACCTGTTTTGTTTTTTTCCTTTGGTACTGGGGGTGGAATCCAAGACTTTCACACCCCCAGTCCTTTTAAAATATTTTAAAATGTTGAGACAGATCTCTCTGAATTGCTAAATTGCCCAGGCTGGGCTTCAATTTGTAATCCTCCTGCCTGAGCTTCCGAGGTGCTGGGATTACAGGCTGTGTGGGGCACCACAGCCGGCTTGATTTATTTATGCTGTATGAGCATTTTTTTTCCTTGTTTTAGAATTCGAATTTCTAAGAGGATTTTATGTCATAGCATGAACTATAATTACATTTAAAAATTTTTTTTAAAGGGTAGTGAGGCGTAATCCTAACACTCCGGAAGGCTGAGGCAGGAGAACTGCAAATTCCAGCTGAGCCTGGTGGGTCTGACAAAAGGAGAGGACCGCAGGAACCCCAATCTCCCCGCCACCGCCGAATCCCTACCCGGATACTGGGGAACCCCGAGCTGGGCCACGCCCAATCGCGTTAGCGCGCCAAGATGGCGGCCGCCCCGCCCCGCGGCTCGAGCCGAGCGCT